CTGACTTAGACGAGTGCACTGTTTGGAAACAACTTCCAAACTTTAATTGAGTGTGGGATTGCCTTCACATACACTGCTTCAAATACTGTGTTAAAAGGTCCAAGTTCTTTCATGCCTGAGGGTCTGTTTTGACAGATGTCTCAAACTAAGGAACAGAAAATCCAGTCTGTGATCTCGAATCAGGCAGTTCCTTATTTACTCAGAAGACTTTCCTGTGCCTTTGTTTCCTCCAGTCAGGATTTCAGCCATACCTTACTTCTCCAGAGCAGATTTACCAAGCTGTTGACCACAAGGGTCAGTAAAAGGTACTTGGCAGGTTTCTAAAAACATCTCAGTACCTTCTGGTAAGTGGAAAAGGACAATAAAAGGGCACTCCTCAAATTATACTCATGAGCTGAATAGCAACAAAATTCACAGCTTACAGGAGGTCGTCAGGACAGACAGCAGGGAAAAAAAGGGAAATTCTGCTTCGTGACTCGTTTTTTCTGCTACTGTTTTAAGCTGTTCTACTGCAAGTATATGCTGTTCTCTGCAGAGTCCACAGGTCTATAGCAGCCCTGGCCTATTGCCCCAGCTTGACAGCTACTGGGTGAGAAAAGCAATGAGAACCACCTGGGGTATTGCTGGGACCATACTTTCTCAAACCATGGAAGTGTCAAACTGACACAGATTTGGGAGAGTGGCAGACTGAACTTGAGGACCTCTCTGAAAGAAAAAAAAACCTTTAGTACATCTGCTGCAGGAGACAGACTGCCAGAAGGAATAACGCGTTTCTACTAGGGCAAGGAAAGAAGCTCATGAGCAGGTGGGTTGGACCAAATCACCTCCAGAGGTCCCTTCCAACCTCAACCATTCTGTTAGTCTGAGCACATTTTGTGAAGGCTTTGGAAAGAAACAAACTAAATAAAATGTTTCCTGCAGCCTGGTTCTAAGGCAGCCACCAAAAGAGGAGCCAACTAGAGGACCTGCTATGCTATACTGCATCTTGTCAGCTGTGTTTTGAGTAGTCCTGAAAAAGAAATAAATACTGGAGGGTAGAGGAGGACAGATGATCCTGTATGTGTAAATAAGTTTGGTCTGTAATTGTCAAACTTTCACAACCCATGCACAAATCTGCAAATGCAGCAGACATTTTTAAAGCGTTTGAGAGCCTGTTTGTGTGCTTAAATATCATTGGGATTTGAGGGATGAGTCATTGTTTGCTTTAAGGAAATAACAGCATATAGAAAAATAGCGCTTTTCTTTACATCTCAGTGTGCTAAGAGCAGGAACATTCTCTATGTACTAGCTGTAGAAAGGTTTTGATAAGAGCTTTAAGATAAGTTTGAAGAGTACATTATAAGCTTGTAAAAAGTTACATGCAGCATGACTTACCCCCAGCAAGCTCCTCCAGACTTGGAACGTGAAAAGCAAACCTTTCGACTTTGGCCATTTCCTAATTGGTGCTGATTTCTTCAGGTAAGAAATTACAATATACCACGCTGTAGGAGCAACTGATCTGTCAACAAGGATGATAGTTTAACAATTAAAACAGGCTGTTTTCAATATGTTACTTATTTTTCAATTTCACTCAAGAATACATAGACAACAGTAGAATTGTAGTTCTGCCATCAAAGGAAAGACTAACAGCTTCAATATTAATGTTAATTTTTTTATGCGCTTTGGAAGATGTGTCTGTCAGCTCTATAGCTGGCTCAGAGTATTACATATGCTAGTCCTCAAGCTTACAACTGGCTGTAGGCAAACCACATCCTACGCTGAATCCAGTTCAAAGGACAGGTCAGGAGATTTATCTGTCCTTTGTAAGCCTGGAGTTATAATTTGTTTTTGAAAGAAAACTGGGCTTTTCCGAGCACCTTAGCTGCCTCCTCAGGTCTTCCCTACCTTAATGTTTACTTTTCCAGCATTGGCTATGGTGGACTTTCAACCACAGCTGTGACACGGTCTCCAGTTGATTCTGGGCATGTGTTTCCCCTTCCAGAGGGGAACAGGCTAGCAACAAAATAGAAAACAGCAGCAGCAAGTTCTGCAGTATCAGGCTCTGTACCCATACAGAGTTTTGTTTGAACATAAGTATAAGAACCTCTTTACAAATGTACTATATTTCAGTCAGCCTTGCAACAGCAAAGTCAGCTACTAGGGCAAACCACTAGCTTAGGGCAGAAACAGCTGATTATACACTACCTATAAATCAGCCACAGCAATCATTAACTCCTTAGGCACATGCTTGCTGCACACAGCAGAAAAAGAAAATGGGTCCTACTTATCCAGATCTCAGGCCCCGGAGGAAAAAGCCAAAAACCTAATTACAATCCCAGACCTGACAGAGCTTTTGTTAGGAAGTACTATGATGTGAGCTAGCTGCTTATGTATCCTTTTAGCTTCTATTTAAAAAAAAAAAATCCTAGCTTTTATGATTGTCAAAAATCATAACTGTCCTTATACCATCAGCCTCTTGAGTATGCATAAAGAAAAAAAAAAGAGCTGAAAAAAGAAATAAAAAGAGTTGGGACATCATAGCAGTCACCTAACTGAAGTCTTTGAGCTCAAAGTTCAGCCACCCCAAATTACTGCTGTATCAAGCAGTAGACAAAGGGAGAAAGACAGCTACCTATGTATAGTAATTCTCATCTTAGTTGGTCTTATCTGTCTCCACAGGTGACTCCCTCCCTCCTCTGGCTGTGGAGGAGAAAGTAACAGGCTGGATTTGGCACCTCTGGTAGAAGCCTACTGTCAGATGGAGTGAATCAGACCCAGAGACTTTAAGTGTACACCAAACACAAGAAAGGGAGTAATCAGTCAGAGAAAGAAAGTGAGAAGATGGCTTTGGCAGCATTGTTTTAGATGATCCTCATCCCCTCAAGAACTTTTTGCCACGTCCAGAAGGAGGCTGTGCCAGCACTCAAGACACCAGTTGAAAAAGTCCTGAAACAGACTGAGAGGGCAAGCTAGAACTGCTGTTGTGCAAAGGGCAGAGGCAAGACTTGGACACAGTTCAAATAAGTAGGCTCAGATATAACACCTAGACCATCACCTGCTGTTTAAAGGACAGTGGTCAGCTCCCCACAATCAAGAAAGGAGGGAAAGACTGTGGGAAAAGCTCGATGTACCATAATAAACCCGATCTGATTGCTAGACAGTAGTCCTTACCGGGGAGGACACAAAAGAGAAGTAGATCCGCGAGTAACCACCACAAGGAGAGCATTCACAGGGGAGTTTGTGTGGTGTGGGGGAGGGAGAACCTGAAAGAAGACAACAGACAATTAAGATCCATCACGGAGGGGTGGAGTGACGTTGAATTACTACAGAAGACTCTCAAAGAAAGAACACAAATGCTAAAAGGACAATAAGATTATTAGATCTGGGATGGTGCAACAAGAATGGAGAGAACAAGCATCTAAAAATTCTCTAAAAGTCTATCTTTTTGAAACAGGAAGAAAACATCAGAGAGAGTAGCCAAGGGCCAGGACAATGCAGATGAAATGGGAACCATGATATTAATGGGGTGGGGAGGGGATTGTCTAGTCTCAAAACCTGAATTAAACTAGTTTGGAGGGTAAAAGCCAGAAAGGGGAGGTTATAGGCAGGCTAGAGATGAGTCAAGGTGGGGGGAAAAAGAAGTATCAGGGAAAAATTGAAGATGGCAGTCAGTGAGAGAAATTTAGCGATGACACCAAGAAGAGCAGAACATCCACAGATGCATCCGCAGAGGTTGCATTCCTCAGCTGGGGCGACGTAAGGAGATCCCGTACGTGGCAGAGGAAGGCTGAAGGACAGCAGAGGCATCTGCTTGAGCGGCTGGGATTTGGGGAAGGGGCAAGGCGGGGCAAGAACAGGCGGGTCAGGCGAGACTGGGGTCCTTAGGGAGAGCATCCAGGGAGTCAAAGGCAGCAAAGAGTGCTGGAGCGAAGAAACACTAAAGCTGGCACTGCACTTGGCATGGCTGCGAGAGGAAGGAAGGGATTATTCAGGCTGGAGCCGCCAGCTCGGGGGGGACTGGGCGGCAGAGGGGAGGACAGG